AGTTGCTCTGGAGTGTTGTGGTCATGATAGTTCAGGAAATGTCCAAGAGGCAAGGAGTTTTTGTGATATCTTTTATTAGAGCAACTGTATAGTTGGGAGAGCTGCTGGATAAGCTTCTGGGCATCAAGTCCCTTCCTCAGGCTACAATTAACGATACCACAAAAAAACCTTGCTTTTGTGTAATTTATGAAACTTAGTTCTAATTTTCAGGAGTGATTTATGGCTCATCCTCATGGCTGGTAGATTGGCATTGAGGCTCAAACACTGAAACATTGGTGTTTAATATCCATTCCACAATTATTTTAGGGGCAGACATTACCTGTTTGGCCTCTTAATTGCTTGAAAGGTATTTTTTGTATTGATACAAGGAGCAAAAAGGTTCTAGTTCACCTGTTCTTTACCTTCTATTTACTTTTACACAATTGCTCTTTTTCTTTGTTTCCTAAGATCATCACAATCTTTTCTACCTCTCTTCATACAAAAAAAATACGTCTCTGAGCTTTCTAATAGTTTGTCTATGAACTTTCTGTATTTCTGCAATGTCCTTTTTGAATTGAGGAGGCCTGTACTACACACACCACTGATCTATACAGAATCATTGTAAAAGGCTTTGCCATATGAATTACCTCCTTCCTAATGTATTCTCAGTATCTTGTTTTTCTTTTCAAACACAGATGCATACTGAGCAGAGGTCTTTGCTTTAGGTCTATAAGGCCCAGGTCCTACATCCAGATTGATATTTATTTAAAATCCAACAAGTGGTTCATGCACAAAAATTATGTCTACATTTTTGTTTTTAAATAACATTAATCATGCTAGTCTCCAGTCCTCTATAGCAGTGGCTATTTTTAATGAGACACTGCTAGTTTTGTTAGCAGTGCATCTACTTCAAATTTGACAGCCCTTAGAACACTTAGATGCTCAGGTGCTGACTTACTGCTTTTTAAAACTGTAATATGCAGCAGGTACAGGGTCTGAGGATAAAAGCTTATATTGAAACCATTAGATCGGGGTGTCAAACCCACCCCTGCCTTGCCCCAACCCGTGGGCCAGATCTGGACCAGATCTGGAGCATTCCTTGCAGGCCAGATCTAGACTGTGGGGCTCCTTGTGGGGAGAATCCAGACTGCAGGGCTTCTCACAATCCTTCTCAAAGGTCAAATCTGGAAAACAGTGGCAGGGGACACGGAGGTTAATACAGCTATTACTCACCCCCTCCTACCCAATGGAGTAACCAACATACTTGTTACTCCATGTCCCAGACTTAGGTGGCAGACCTGCCCTTGCTTGTCTCACACTGTAATTCCTCGTCCTACTATGACCTGTGAGCCAGATGAGACAGGTCCATGGACAGGATCCAGCCTGTTTGATACCCCTGCATTAGGTCATACCAGTGCTGGGCTGAAGTCTCTGCTTCAGTGCAATGTAGTGTATCAAGCTACAGGGAAAATGCTGGAATCTATTAATAAAAAAGCTATGTTGCAATTTTGACTACTCTGGTGAAAAACTGTTGGTTTGAACCAAATGATAAAAAAAACATTTCTGGAGTTTATTTAACAATGTGTTTGTATATGTACAATGTTCTTAATCCAGACTATCATTTTATTTGTCACTCTTTGAAAGCAATTTCTTTGTGAGGCACGAAAGAAAAACGGGTTGCTCACTGGGGTGGTATTTAGGGTGAAAATATCTGTGTCAATAGAAATGGTAGTGTGTTAGTTTTGCCAATGAGAAGACAGATCTCTGTTGCTGAATAGTGTAACAGTGAATTAAACAGTAAGACTTTTTTCTTATTTCCCTGAAGCTGAGTAGCAATCTGCCCAGCTTTTAGATAGTTAAAACAATTAATTTAAGTGAGGTACAAATATTTCATTTTAGATAACTTTTCGTATCAGAGATGCATCAACCTGTTCCCTCATTTCCTGTCTTGCAGTTATGGTTTGCTGGCTTTGCATTTTAAGTAGCTTAATTCCAATTATTTTGTCAGTACTTAGTAATTGTTATCCATTATCCTGTTTGTAAATATGCATCAAGTTATAGCATGTTTCTTCTGAATCCTAGATGATTCCAAAGCTATTGTAACAAGAAGTCTTACCTTGGAAAAGCTCCCAAATGTAGTATCTGCAAGGTATCTACTTGTATTACTATTCTACGACAGAGGCCAGGTTGGATACTCACTTTGGGAAAGCAGCATTAGACTAATTTATTCTGCAGCCCTCCTTGTGTTAGAGATTCACTGTTCACTAGTTTGTAGGTACAGGATCAATAAGATCAATTTCACAAAAGGCAAAAAAATTACCTAAGGGTAACTGGAGTTTTCTGAATGTACTGCTTTTACAGATAGAGGCCTCATCCCTGCTTTAGCCACATATATTTCCAGTTTCTCTGTTTCAGACTAAAGAGGGTACTTCTTCTTAGAAAGGCCAGTGCGGATTGGGAGATCTGTTGTTTTTAACAATTTTAGGTTAGGAAACACTGACGTAGACCTAATCACAAAAGGTTTACTGGTTTACTATTCAATGCTGCTTTTTGCTGATGTAGTTTATTCTGGTTTCTCAGGTTAGGGGCAGACATTAAACATAAACCAGTTTAAGTGATCAGAAACTTGTTTAAACCTGTAACAGAACAGATGTTCAGTGCAATTAAACCAGTTCGAAAATGGCTGAAACCGGTTTGAGATAAACCTGGTTGAATGTAGTATCAGACTTAACTGATTTGGCTCAAACCAGTTTATGCAATGTCCATCCCAGACATCAGAGAAATGTTATACGAACAAGTGCCCTTTACTGTTGATGTAACTAATATGTTAGGGCTTCTGCTAGAGAATAATGTCTGCGGCATAAAAATATATCAAATCAATCACCTAACCAGCATGACTACACCATAACATTTTTTATCAGCAGGTCTGGTATTCATTATGCTATTCTCAAAGACAATCTGTGAAAGCAATATATTTGATCACAGGAGGTTTTGTTAAGCCACCCAGCTCTCTCCTATATTTTTTTTCTGCAAGAGGGAATGTTTATTTAAGCTCTCAGAACAAATACTGATACTTAGTAAGGTGCTGCACAGACAGCAACATTTGTGCCAAAAGTCCAGAAAGAAAAACCTATCATCCAACCACATATTAGATCACTACAAGCAGGAGTAATGCAGAAAAGAAGAAAAGATTTTTTTAAAAATTACAAAGTATTGGAAAAAAATGAGACCTTTCTGCAAACAGATTTTTTTAAAATTCATTCTTCCTCAATGCCCTACACTGTATGGGTTCCTGAAATTTTGGAAAGCAGTTTGGATATGCTGACTTCTATTTGTTCCTGTCATAATTTTCAAAAAGAGTCCAATAGCTCTCAGTTCTTAACAAAGACGTTTTAAAATTATTTTATCCCTTTACATTTTACATTCCTCAAAATTTGAAAAAAAAAAATTCTATAGTTGGTATAGCACATTAGAAATCTATAGCTTTGCAAAGACTCCATTTACCCTTGCAGCTATAAGATTCCAAGGGTTTTAAATAAGCTATGCAGCCTCCAGAATGGAATTTTTAAATGTCTGTTGGATTCCAAAGGAAACTCATTAATTGAGTCGAAAATATAGTTTTAATTTTAAACTCAGGTCTATAAAATTACAAAGGCAAACAAGGAAGCATACAAAAATGTATAATAACTAATATTTCATATTCCTTTAATTTGGATTCCTCTTTTTTTTAAAAAAAAGGTCAGATTTTTCATTCTTAAAGGTCAAATTAAAGGCAGATGGTTTGAACCTTCAGGGTGATAAATTTTATTTTGCAAATTCTAACTCAATAATAATAGATAAAATAAACTACTTTTAGATTCTGAATATAATTTGATTAAATCCCAGTTTTTAAAAACTTTCAACACTAGACAAATTATTAAGGCACACTGAAAAATAAGTTTGTTTCACTCAGCTTACACACTTTATATGACTATTTCAGTAAATAAGACTGCAATTTAGTAAGATGCTTGAGCAGCTGCCCAACTTTAAATGTATTAATAATTCTTTTGACATCAGTAAAACTATCCAAGAGCTGAAAGCGAGCCCTAACATACCAAAAGAAATGTGCATATATTTTTGTTTTGGGTGGAAGGCTTAGTCTACAAGATTTACTCCTATAAAGAAGCAAATATATTGAAAAACTCAAAATTTTAAAATACTTGCAGAAAATTGCTCATGAACAAGTTATAGTCCATGAGTTATTTGCATAAATTAGTCAGAGAATTACTGAATAAATTTAGGGAAAAATCAAACTGATTTCAGGCAATTCAGCGACATGAAGGGTTTCAATCTAAGTGAACCTTTCCTCACCTCTGGTCAGTTCCTTGAAATCATTTGCATGCTCTGTTCGTTACAGAAACTAATAAATCCCTTTAAAATCTGTTTGGTCAGGAGAGTAATTTCAGAATTAAAGGTTTTTCAGCTGCTTTTACACTTCTACAAATGAGGTGTTTAGAGTCAGGAAAATGGTTTGCCTTACTGTTACAGCTCTTTGGTTTATATATACATCATATCAAGCTTCTTTGAATTTTAATTGTGTGAGTAAAAGAAAGCTGCTGAAAATATTTCTGAAGTCCTGATACAGGAAGGTGACTAAACTCTTAGGCCTTTGTCTTAAGGAAAAAAAAATCTCATCATTGCTACTGTTTGCACAGCTCCTCTGGTGGTAACAATCGTGGGAGTGCTAGCATAGACTAGGTTCTAAAGGATTGCCAGTATTTAAACCAATGTTTCTTCTAAGCCTGTCCAGAACAGGGGTTACAACGGTTACCCACAAGTTCCTTGCCTTTGTTTGTGCTCCCGCTGGTGGAGCTGACCTGGTGTTAACAATGTTGGGAAATTCTTCAAAAAAAAAGAGTATCATAGCCAAGACCTGAGAGCAGATTTATCTAGCAAGCTTGCCAGCATGCTGATTGTACTCTTAAACCCCCCACACACTTTTAAGGAATGCAACTATCTTCTCTCTTTCCTTCCCCACGTAGCTTGAGAATTACATCCAAGACAATATGAAGAAAGAAATAGTAGAGATCCAGCAAAACGCAGTGCAGAACCAGACTGCAGTAATGATTGAAATAGGCACAAACCTATTAAACCAAACAGCTGAACAGACCCGCAAATTAACAGATGTTGAAGCACAAGTAAGTAATGAATTTCTTAAAAAAATGCATCTGACCCCCAAAGAGCTGCCATGACATGTAACACAGTGAAGCACAGTTTTACAATTCCATAAAGCAGCAATGAGATTATAATTCAAGGGTTACAAGACAAGCAGGTTAATTCACAGCTGTATCATAGCCTAAGAGGATATTAATATTTGCTGATCTAGAGCCTCATGCCAAGACCACCAAAAAATCAATAAAAAGATTCCCATTGACTTCAATGGGAACTGCAGCAGGTTCTTGAAGAACGTTGTTTTAGCAAGGAACTTTCAAATGTCAGTCATATTTTTCTTAAGTAAATAACTAAAATATCAATACATGCCCAAGCCTTAACTAAGTGAGTGATATCTAAAATGGGATTTCATGGCTTCTTTCTATCCTGACTCTGCTCTAAGTGGTTGGCCTAATAGTCATCACCAGTTAGGGTCTTGCATACACGGAAAAAATAAAATCTAAACAAAACAAAACAGCACTTTACTTTCAGCTCGGTATGCCACTGCAACAAATACAGTGCATGCCCAGAAGAGAAATCACATCAGTTTACCCGACTTGCCCAGCATCTGTATAGCTCAGGTGCTTCAGCGGGGCTTTTTGGTGCTTTTATCTAATTTAATCTAATTGATTGAATCAGGTACTAGACAAAAGCACCAAAAAGCCCTGCTGAAGCACCTGAGCTATACAGACACTGGGGAGACAGGTCAAACTGACTTGATTCCTCTTCTGGTAAAGCGCTGCTTTCCTCCCATCTCATCTCTCAGCACCCTTAGGCTAGGGGCAGAAATTACACATAAGCCAGTATAAATGATTGAAGACCTGCAACACAACAGAAGTTCAGTACACGTAAACTGCTTTCAAAATGGCCAAAACTGACTTAAGATAAACCTGGAGGGATGTAATATCAGACTTAGCTGATTTATGTTAAATCAGTTTATTGAATTTCTGTCCCAGATCACCTCCATATTCAAGTTAACTCACATTTCCTCAGCATCCCAGGAATGTTTTTAACCTTCCCCACAAACCTCTGCACTCCCCCCTTACAGGGTGGGCAGCATAGCTTTGACCTAAGCCGTCTGCTCCAGCAGAGCAGGGAGGCATGCTCTAGCATCCCCTGGCATCTTGCCTGGGCCACTGCAGACATGTGGCTGCATTTCTGGTATCAAAAGTGAATGTCTGTTCACCTGCTTATTGGTTATTGGTTCAATTTTTGCAGCTTAGACTAACCTGAAAGATTCAATTGATTCAGCTTTGGGCTTTTTGACTGTCTGTACTTATCCTTAGCATTTTCTTGAAAACTCATTCTCTTCCTACAGATGCTGCAGTGGGATAATAGTAGTCATTTCTATGTTAAGGCACTACTGTAATGAGTATATCATTATGATTTCATGGAGGGATAAATCAAAAGGAGATGAAATGAGTGGGAGAAAGGCTGAGGAATTATGAAGCTACTGGAAAAGTAAATTGCAACATTTTTTCAAGTTGACTTCAATGTGAAAGTTCCACTTCAATTGTGGTTCCTTAAAGGAAATTAAAAGTTCCCATAGTATGACACGAAAAACTTTCCAGAATTCCAGCATTGGTTAGAAGCCTCAAAATCAAATGACTAGTTTGTAGCTAAACAAGTTAATTATCCAAAACAAAAGATAAATCTTGACACTTCATTCCCTTTACACATAGTATGTGACACAAGTTATTAAAAAATGAATTTAAAAAAGCAGATCCTTTATAATTGCTTTAACTGAAAAGCATTTAAATGTCTGCTTGGCAGGCAGCTTTTTCAGTGACTGATTTTTTTAATGCCTCAGCAAACAAAAAAGTGTTGATATATCCTACTCTTCAAATTAATGATAAGTCTAATTGAAAGAAAATGTGTATTCTGTAGGTTTCTCTTATCCTGGTGAGAAGATTCTTGAACAGATACTAAAATAATATATAGCATTTGATGTTTTACGTGTTCAAAATATTGTATAAATATTAACTAAAATCTTTACTACACAACTTGTTACGTAAGTCATTCTGCATCTATAGAATGTACGTGGTTGACACTGGGTGTTTCTACACATGTACTTTACTGCAGTATTGATGAATTAGCTCCACAGTAAAAAGTGTCACCATCTACACATGCACCCACATTAGGGTGCAGTAAATTAATTAACTCCATTGTAGGATAGTACCAGTAGGACAAGTACTACCCTACAGCAGAGTTATTAAGTGCACCAAAACACACATGTAGATGGTGATCGTGGCTGGCTGGGGTACAAAGGTGCTATAGTGCAGGGGCTACCTGTTGGCTAGCCCTGCACTGTGGCACCCTCGTGCCCTAGCCATCCCTGACACTGCCACTCAGAGTCTGGGGTGACTCCCCCAGGCCACCTGCCGGCCCGGGCTACTCTGCCCCAACTCAGCGTGAAGAACTGCCAGGCACATGTGCACACACTGCACTCTGGAGAAATAAACACAAACATCTTGAATCTACCTTTACAGTTTTATCATTAAAAAGCACCATTTTTTTTGAAGAGGCTCAGTGGGCTTTTATGGGGGTTTTTTTGATAAGCTAAAAGAGAAATATATTTATTCTTTCAAAGCAAAGTCTTTCTGGACTTTACCTGTAGTTTTTGTTTAGGAAGAATATTATTACTGGAACCTTCTTTTGCTCCCTGAAATTACTGGTGACCAGGTTAAGGGCTTAATGAACAACATAAGGAAATTAACCAAACAATTGCTGTCTCAAGGACACTTAACTTTGGCAATAATTTTCAATTACACCTCAGTGTGAAATCATGTCCTGAATGACTGTTTAACACAAAGGATGTGACTAATCAATTCTTCCTGTCTACTAAAGCCAAATTCTGATGAATTAAAAAAGCTGTTTTGACACAATGAAAAAATGTTTTCTAGAGAACATGCATCAAAATGTAATGCAAGTCAAAGTCATCTCCCACTTCAAATGATATCATTGTTTCTGCATTAACTGATAGAACTTTGGCGTAAAAAGGGGATTTGTGTAAATTATTTCCTTCTCAGAACTGAAACTGTCAAGTGAGTATAGCAAAAAATGTGTTTGGTAAACACTTCATCTAATTCAAACATTAAAAAATATATTTCCTAAGTTCACTGGCACCACTGTTCTCAAAGAGAAAAATCAATGATTTCACTGGGGCTGTGATTTCACCTGGTTATACTAATATATGTGACATTTATTTCAGTACCAGAACAATAAATATATTGCATATGAAATTATTCTTTAATGAACTAATACCATAATTTCTGATACTGATGTTGTTATCTAATAAATATAAAGGGAAAAAATATGTGACAACAGCTTAAAGACAAAGTAATTTTGAACGTTATTCACAAATATGGTGCACCATTAAAACATTGCCCAAGATGACTTGAAATATAAATCACAGTATTATAGGTTTATTTGTTCATTACACAAATATAATTCTGAGCATTTTTTACAATAATACTATATGCATTCATGCCCAAATTGGTACTGTATGCATGCATGTTTGTGCATACTTATTTTTTTCAAATATTTTCTTTCTATATGTGATAACCACTGAGTTTAAAAAGTACAGTTAAATTAGACTTCACCATTTTCAGAGATGCCTATATGTTTGTTGTTGTTTTTTTAAACGTAGGTGTTAAACCAGACAACAAGACTGGAACTTCAGCTTCTGGAACATTCTCTCTCAACAAACAAGTTAGAAAGGCAGATTTCAGATCAGACCAATGAGATAACCAAATTGCAAGAAAAAAACAGGTAATATTGCTGTACCTATCCAAAGATTACTCTGCTAAATTGTCTTTTTTTAAACAGTTTTAGGCATTTGCTTGTGGGAAAACAATTGTTTCAACCAATTTGAGAAATCCTTACTTAATGAAGAAATAAGCTACACTCCTGTATTTTATAAACATAAAAAGCTAGAATGACAATATAGCTGAGAAAAACAAACAAAAATAAAATTGGAACCATATGTAATGTCTAAAACAATGGTTCCCAGACTTTATGACCAATGGAACACTGTCAAGCTTTACATTTCTTGCAGATTTCCATTGACCTGTGATCATACTTATCATAGCATTTAGAAACCAATGATTTAAAATATAAAAATAACAATACTTGGCAGTATCAGGTAAAATAAATTAGCTGTAGCCAACTATTGGTCTTGCCCAATAAAATTAACTCTCCTCAACCCCCTCTCCCTAAAACTGCAAAACATTATCAAAAGAAAAAAAAAGTGAAGACCTGCATATGTAGAAGCAGAAATTCTGTTATGCCCTAATGACAGATTTAGTAAATCTGATTATATTATGAATGGTGGGTTTAATTCAAGAATTCTTGTTCCTCAGAATGTAAATGTATTGTGTAAATACAATTCCTCACTTTTGCTTTACTTTCATATGTAAGAGTATTAGAATTAGCCAAAAATTTAATGAAATCTTAATTCTGGGCAACTGATTGGTTTCAATGGGGGCTTTCTGCTCTGTATACTACCCAAACATTTTTAAATAGGAAATTATTAGTTTTCCCCTGTGATCAATAAAGGAAATACCATCTGTTTTCATGAAATCATAAATGCGCCAAAGTTCAGAGGTCTGTTTTAGGATGAAGATAAAAGCATTACTGGGACTAAAATAAAAGTATTATCACACAGAGCCAATGTCCCCCCATTTCCCTCTGCTCCATCTCTCTGAATGTTATCTGGAAAACCCCCCCTCAAAATGAGGGCAGTAATGTATCTAATGTCATTGTTTTTCAAGCAAAATGTTGCATTTAAGGGGAAACAGGACAGCTACCATTTCACAGTAGTTCCCTTTGTGAATACACATGATCAATTTTTTTCTTGTTACATTAGTTATCAATACATAGTAGCATGCAGTTTAAAAACAGGCTGGAACACTTGTTTCGATAAAGAGGACACAACTTTATTCAATATAACTTAGCAAGATACAAGGAGGGCAACTGTTGTTAGCCTGCAGCCCCTGTCATTCAGATGGATCCTATGCCCCAAGTGGCCAGTCATCTCTGAACTAATGACAAGGCTATGGCATAAAAGCTTGACTGCCTGCCTTACTGTATGAGGCTTACAGCCAAGTATAACATCCACACTTAAAAAGACCAGACAGGTGAACCACATGTTGGTGTAAACTGTCTTACGCAGTTCCATGTGATACTGTCACATGAAGGTGGATGTTGGCTATAGTAAAAGCTGCCTTAACTGGCACCTTACAAGCCGGCATGCTCTATTAACTGGCATGCAGGCTTGTAAAGTAAAAGTGAAACCAGAAGTGCCCACCGTGGCACTTCTGGTTTCGCCGAGCCCCCACAACCTGGGGCAAAGCATCCTATGCTGCTGAGCCCCCATGGCCTGGGGCATAGCAGGCTGTGTGGGGCCTGCCTCCCTGTCCCGCGGGAAGGTTGGCAATGCGGCAGGTGTGTGGCAATGCCCTGACATGGCAGGAGAAGTGGCGGCCCGAACAGGCAAAGACGTCTGTTCGGGCCTCCCAATTAACTGGCAAATTTTGTTATCTGGCACCCCCCATTCCCCATGGGTGCCAGATAATAAAGCTTTTGCTGTACTTTTCTTGTCATCTTAAGGCTTAAGGGAATTTTTTTTCAAAAACCATGCTATTTAACAACCCATATTGAATTGTCAAAAATAACTTGGCACTTAGGAGTCCAAGCTGAACTCGCTTTCAATGAGATGTAGGCTCTTAAAGGCTAGATCTAAAATGGAATTCAGGCACTGCAACACTCAGTGTTTCAAAACTTACCTTACAGAAATGTGGCTCCTAGATTGAAATGCAAAACCCTGCGTTAGGTGCCTTGCCACAGAAAGACTTACACAATACAGAACTGGATCCTAAGCAAATTGCAGGCTGAGCAGGGACCAGCTTTAAGGTCTGCATTCTGAACAGAGACTTGTCTAGAGTTATCTGTAAGGAAATGCTGAAGACAGGACGTGTGTCTTAAAATCCTACCTGTCTCTGGAGTTTAGTCACCTTGCTTACCTCAACTTCTCTGCCTTCTCTAAGGATGGCTTATACCTTTTTTTCAACAACTGTTGCACATAATATGCAGAAAATTACCTTGAAGCAGAGACTCTCCCTCTGTGACTGCCCTATTTGTGAACGTAATAAGTTTTGTTCCTTCTTGCTCTCCCCAAAACAGCCAATAACTTGGTGAGTAAGGAACTCACCAGGGAGATGCTGGCTTGAATCCTCTTACAGGAGGGGGCTGAACCTGGGTTTTGCACATTCTGTGCAAGTGCTCTAACCACTTGCTTCCTCAACTGCCATTTATGGCCATGTTTTAAAAGAAAGTGGAGGTCCTAGAACATTTTTCATGGACTCTGATCTGGTAATGCCTACTGGATTGACATTTTCAGGGGAGACTGGTAGAGAAACACCTAGGTTTTGAAAACTGATTGGATTTTTCAGGCTGGTACTGATCTACTCTGCCCTGTCAAGACTACTAATGAGCACCTGTAGAAACAGAACTTTCAAATAAAACACTCATGTGCACTGAAGTTTAGGCATCTTTAAGGCTAGGCAGCAGTATGGCTGCATGAAATTTAGGCCGCTGTTTCATTTTGGAGGTGTTTTGGGCCATTTTGGAACGTGAAACACTGAATCCAAATTGAAACGGAAGCCTCCAAAACAGCTCCAAAATGAATCAGAAGGCTCTGAAACATTTTGGAAATGTTCCAGAGAATTTCAGTTTCGGAGTCGGTCTTGCAGGGAAACAAAAACTAAGAAAAGGGAGGGGAAAGAACATGAAAAGACTGCTCTGATATTGGCATGTAGCTCCTGGTTCAATTCCCCAGCTATCTGATTGCTTCCCCCAGGTCTCTGATCATTTCCCCAGCTCTTCCTAGGCGGTGTAGCCGCCCGATCTGAGTACAGGGTTTCAGCAGGCTCCTGCTGTACCCTGTGGCCAGTGGCAGCCACTTGGTGCAGCCCACATTGAGCACTGGGAAGACTGTGGTGCTGCCACTGGCCCCAGCCTGCAGCGGCAGCCTGCTAAAACCCAGCACACAGATCCGGGGGTCTGTGCCCCTCAGGAGCTGAGGGAATGATCAGAAAGCTGGGGAATTCAGCTCGGGAATCGAACAGAGAGCTGGGGAATCAAGCCAGGAGCTAGGGGAATCCCACTTCGATTCCCCAGCTCCCCAATCACTTCCCCCAGCTCTTCCCAGACAGTGCAGACCCCCAGATGATGTGGGATGATGGCAGGCTGCAATGGGCTATTTCCCCAGGTCGTGGTGGCAATGGGCTATTTCCCCAGCTGGCAGCAGCAGCCTGCACAGATCCGGGGGCCATGTCCCCTGGGAAGACCTGGAGGAATGATCAGAGCTGGGGAATTGAACCAGGAGCTCCGGCTGACAGGTGAATGTGCCCCAGCTCCGGGACAGTGTGCGGCGCCCCGTTCAGCTGCGCTGTACCCATGCGATGGTACAGCTGCCATGCGGGTGCCAGGAGGGGAGAGAAATCGCCGCCGCCCCGCGCTGAGCGAGGGAGCTCTGCCACAAGCTCTCAGAGCGCCTAATCGCCGCTGCCAGAGCTGTTGAGTGCATGGCTTTTTTTTTTTAAAAGCTCCACTCTCACCAGATGCGGAGCATGCAGATGACAGCATGCTCCTGCTGCCGGCTGGGGCCAGCGCCACCACCCGAGTCTCCCTGGTGCAGCCTGTGCCAAGCACCAGGAAGAACCTAGTGATGGCACTGGCCCCAGCTGGCAGTGGCAGCCTGCTATCATCCTGCACACAGATCCAGTGGTCTGCACCCCTTGGGAGGGCTGCAGGGCTATGTCAGATTCCTCCTGGAGGTGCAGCTTCCAGATATGCGTACGGGATGACAGTATGCTGCTGCTGCCAGCAAGTGATACTAGTTTTGCTCTAAACAGTTTGAGGTGCAATTTCACAAAAAACCCTGCACCTCTGTCCTTGAAACTTGGTGGGCTTTGTGCCCTCAGAAGGGGCTACCACCTCTGCAATTTTCATCCGAATCAGGCAAGAAATTACAAAGTTATAGGCATTTTAATGATTCCCCATTATAGCCTATGGCCAAAACAGCATCAAAACTCAGAAACAGATTTGGTCAAATTGAAACGGGACAGTAATCCGAAACACTGAAATGAATCACTGTCCCTCAGAAATGCCAAATCCAAAATCAAAACAAAACAAAACATTGTCATTTTGCGTAACCCTAGGCAGCAGGCAAACAGTGATATTCCAGATCTATCCACTGGATGTTGGAATAAAGGACTATCTGCTATCTAACCTATTCCAATGAAAATTTGTTTCTTTGTAACTAAAATACAAAATTATCTTAGGCTCACTATTGCTACTTTATTGTGTAATAGGATAGCTTTTTGATGATCAGATCATGCAAATAGCTCATTCTATCATATCTAGTCCATCAGACTGATCTTAGTCATGTCCCAAGTTCCCACAATTTCAATTTTCTGAGACCTAGGAGTAAAAACACCCATTATTCTTCCTGTATCCATACCTACTTGATATGCAGCAAAGGTGGCATATTTTTATTTAACCAGTTTAAATCCCCACATTGTTAAAGGAATCATCCTGAAGGGGCATTATGAGGCAGAACAAATTATTTCCCAACATGAATGAAGCATAAGTGTCAAACCTCAGGGTTCTATTTTACTTGTAAGAGTAAATAATTTACAGGGGAATCTAAAAGTAGCAATAACAGAGAGTTTTCTCCTACATCAAAGACATTTTTTTTCAATGAGAAC